CATAAGAAAACACAAGGAAAGTAGTTACAAACTACTGCAATATTTCTGGTTTATGTTTGAGATTCTATTTTGACTCTTGAAATTACACAAAACTGTTCTCAGCTATTGTGATCCAACGCTATGGATTGTTTTTTAATGTATTTAATATCCTATTAAAAAAATCAACATAATTGTGAGCCATCAAGAAATTTTGTGAGTTGTCCAGCATTTTGAAATATCAAATTTTGCCAGAAAAATTGGCTTCCCAGTGAACTGTAATCTACCCAGCTATCTATGTACCTAAATACATGTATGTACTTAAAGACAGGCATAATTATAAAAAGCCATTTGAAGTTTAAAAAATGCTGGAGGTGCTTGGTAAAAAGACAGTTTTTCAGCAAGATACTGTGCTCACAAATCTGGACTATTTATCAAAGACCTGCCTGAAAAAGAAGCAAAGCCAGAACTTTTTTTTTTGTCTGCTTTGACACTATTTTGGATGAAATATCATTTTTATACAAAAAAAAATAAATGTGAAGGTGAGGCTACTCCTGTGCTGTCTGGCACCACAGCCAGAGAAATGACTTAAAAGCAGCCGTGTGAGATGAAAAAGTTCTTGACAGAACAAGAAAATATGAAATGGTCATTCTCTGTGCAGTCATGTGAAATTTCCCATTCTCTGCTGATAGATTAATTAAATAATGTCTCAGCTTCCTTCATCAGAGCTAAAGAATGCTTGTTTACAGCTAAACAAAATATAATTTTTTTTTAGTTACATATTCAAAATTTTTCTACTGCGCATCCCCACTTCATTAACAGAAATCAAACAATAACATTTATGAATTCAACTCTCACTTCAAAGACTGGTGGTAGTCCAGGCTGGCAGTGAGGACATTAATGGAAGAAGTGCCAGGATAATTAAAAAAGACTTCAAAGCACTGGGTTGGTCAGTTCAGGGGACAGGAGCACAGGTGATATTTGCCTCAGTTCCTGTACTATCTGGGATGGATGAGGAGTTAAATAAAGAGTGCAGTAAAAAAGCCTAACTCCTCAACAGACGGCTAAAGGATTGGTGCCACCGTCAAAATTTTGGTTTCTTTGACCATGGGGCAAACTCCATGGTACCTAGTATCTTAAAATCAGATGGGATTCATCTTTCCAGGAAGAAGAGGACTGTAGCCCATAAGTTAGCGAGGTTGATCAGGAGGGCTTTAAAATAGGTATGAAGGGGGAACTAGTTGGAACCGGGCTCTCCAGTGATCAGCCTAAGGATGGAAAGCCTGAGTTAAGAGTTAAATCAACAGCCCACCTGAAGTGCATGTACACTAATGCATACAGTATGGGCAACAAACAAGAGGAGCTGGAAGCCATTGTGCAGCAGGAAGGCTATGATGTAGTCGCCATCACAGAAACGTGGTGGGATGACTCACATGACTGGAGTGTTGCCATGGATGGCTACAAGCTCTTCAGAAAGAACAGGCAGGGTAGGAGAGGTGGAGGGGTGGCTTTATATGTTAGAGAGTCTCTTGACTCTGTTGAACTTGAGATCAGCAACGATAAGGTTGAGTGCCTGTGGACCAGAATCAGGGGGAAGACCAACAAGGCCGACACCATCATAGGTGTCTGTTACAGACCGCCCAACCAGGATGACGAAGGGGATGAAATATTCTACAAGCAGCTGGCGGATGTCTCGAAATCGTCAGCCCTTGTCCTTGTGGGTGACTTTAACCTGCCGGATATCTGCTGGGAGCTCAATACTGCAGAGAAGAGGCAGTCTAGGAATTTCCTGGAGTGTATAGAGGACAATTTCCTTCATCAACTGGTAAATGAACCTACCAGGGTTAAGGCCCCGCTAGACCTGCTGTTTACAAACAGAGAAGGGCTGATGGGAGATGTAGCGGTTGAAGGCTGCCTGGGAAATAGTGACCATGAAATAATAGAATTTTCAATGCGCAGAGATTCAAGGAGAAACAACAATAAAACCTCTCCGCTGGACTTCCGGAGGGCAGATTTTGACCTATTCAGAAGTCTAGTCCAGAGCATACCCTGGGAAACAACCCTTGAAAACAAGGGGGTCCAGGAGGGATGGATGTGCTTCAAGAAGGAAGTTTTGAGTGCACAGGAACAGGCTGTACCGGTGTGCCGAAAGGCAGGCTGGAGGGGAAGACAACCAGTTTGGTTAAACAGGGAGATTCTGAAGGAAATCAGGGATAAAAAGAGAGTTTACCGGCTGTGGAAGAAAGGGCTGGCTACTTATGAAGAATTCAGGAAGACAACTAGATCATGCAGAAAGAAAATCAGGGATACAAAAGTGCAATTTGAAGTTAAATTAGCCAATTCTGTTAGGGATAACAAAAAGTCCTTCTATAAATACATTAATAACAAAAGGAGGGGCAAAGAAAACCTCCATTCTTTGAGGGACTTGGAGGGAAACATAGTTAATAGAGATGAAGAGAAGGTTGAAGTACTTAACACCTACTTTGCCTCAGTTTTTACCAGTAGGACAGGTGGCCCTCAAGGCAACTGGCCTCTGGAGCTGGTAGACAGAGACAGGAAACCAAATAGTCCCCTTGTATTCCAGGAGGAAATAGTTGGTGACTTACTGAGTCATCTGGATCCTCACAAGTCTATGGGACCAGATGGGATCCATCCCAGGGTGATGACGGAGCTGGCAGAAGAGCTTGCCAAGCCGCTCTCCATCATCTTCCAACAATCCTGGCTCACTGGGGAGGTCCTATATGACTGGAAGTTGGCAAATATCACCCCAATCCATAAAAAGGGCTGCAAGGCTGACCCGAGTAACTACAGGCCTGTCAGTCTGACCGCGGTGCCTGGCAGAGTTATGGAGCAGATCATCCTGTGTGAAATCACACAGCGGCTACAGGATGGACAAGGGATCAGACCCAGCCAACATGGGTTTAGGAGGGGTAGATCCTGTTTGACCAACCTGATCTCCTTTTACGATCAGGTGACCCACTTGGTGGATGAGGGAAAGGCTGTGGATGTGTCTATCTGGACTCCAGCAAAGCCTTTGACACCGTCTCCCACAGCACGCTCCTGGAAAAGCTGGCAGCCCACGGCTTGGACAGGGGCACTCTGTGCTGGGTTAGGAACTGGCTGGAGGGCCGGGCCCAGAGAGTGGTGGGGAACGGGGCTGCATCCAGTTGGCAGCTGGTCACCAGTGGTGTCTCCCAGGGGTCAGTGCTGAGCCCAGTCCTTTTTAACATCTTTATTGATGATTTAGATGAGGGGATTGAGTCCATCATCAGCAAATTTGCCGATGACACCAAGTTGGGGGGGAGTGTCGACCTGCCGGAAGGCAGGAGGGCTCTGCAGAGGGACCTGGATAGGCTGGAGAGTTGGGCTGACTCCAATGGAATGAAGTTCAACAAGGCCAAGTGCCGGGTCCTGCACTTTGGCCACAACAACCCCCTGCAGCGCTACAGGCTGGGAACAGAGTGGCTGGAGAGCAGCCAGGCAGGAAGGGACCTGGGGGTGCTGATTGACAGGAGGCTGAACATGAGCCAGAGTGTGCCCAGGTGCCCAAGAAGGTCAATGGCATCCTGACCTGCATCAGGAACAGTGTGGCCAGCAGGAGCAGGGAAGTGATCCTTTCCCTGTACTCTGCATTGGTGAGGCCACATCTTGAGTATTGTGTCCAGTTCTGGGCCCCTCAGTTCAGGAAGGACATTGAGGGGCTGGAGCAGGTCCAGAGAAGAGCAACGGGGCTGGTGAGGGACTTGAACACAAGTCCAATGAGGAGAGACTGCGGGAGCTGGGGTTGTTTAGTCTGGAGAAGAGAAGGCTTAGAGGCAACCTCATCACTCTCTTCAACTACCTGAAGGGAGGTTATAGCCAGGCGGGGGTTGGTCTCTTCTCCCAGGCAACCAACAATAGGACAAGGGGACATGGGCTCAAGCTCTGCCAGGGGAGGTTTAGGTTAGATGTTAGGAAGAAATTCTTTACAGAGAGGGTTATCAGACATTGGAACAGCCTACCCAGAGAGGTGGTGGATTCACCATCCCTGGAGGTTTTGAAAAAGAGATTGGACGTGGCCCTTAGTGCCATGATATAGTAATTGGAGTTGGATCAAGGGGTTGGACTTGATGATCTTGGAGGTCTTTTCCAACCTAATCTATTCTATGATTCTATGATTCTATGATTCTATGATTCTATGATTCTATGATTCTATGATTCTATGACTGTGCTTAAAATAGTGATTTAGTTCCTTTCCTTAATATTTTCTTTAAACATGGAATTATGATTGTCAGATTTAGAATATTTTTTTCTGTGTTTAGTCTGTAACACAGAGTCAAAAGCCTTCCTGTAAGGTGTAAATTATGCATTTTCATTTGTAACCCTGGTAGTAAAAAATTACACAGATACAGACATCAACCTTTGAGTCACATGTTAAGGAAGATATCCTTGTTTTGTGACATATAAGCCACTGTTTTTCACAATTTAAAATTGTTCCACAATTTAAATCTTCTGTTCATAATGGGTTTTCATAGGAGACACAGTACTTTAGATTTGAAAAGCTAAGGGAGGTTTTGTATACTATTATATAAAATTATCAGAAACAGTAGACACATTTAACTTCCAACAACCATGAAATACTCTTTAAGACACACTCATTAAAGATTATATCAGTTATTATTTTTCAACTCTTAATATTCGTAGGAGCTCAAAATATATTTTTTGCCTAAAAAGTACTTTATATTACCCAGGATTCTGGGAGCACTTAGGACAAGGAAAACACATGTACTGTAGTCTTTTAAGCATCTAGAAACTCACTTTAACCTTTGTTTGTTTTTATTATTATTATTATTATTTATGCAGTTTTGTAACTTTCTAAAGATTATAAACTTTATAAACTCATACACATTACTACTACTATTGTCCCACTATGATAATGTTTACCTTCTTCTTATCAACCATGTCATTTACATGAATTTATTTCAAGTTACTTTTTTTCATTACAGTAAGAAGTTCAGAAGTCAGATTCTCATTTTTCATTTTCTTCTTTTTTCACTTACAAAGAGACAGAGAAACAACTGAACATGGAAAAAGTGTAAGATCATTAATGGAAGGAACCAACACCTTCTTTGAAACTTAGTATGCAATTAATTCTTTCCACATGTTCAAATATATATGTTTTTATTTCACAGGAAGTCTTGAGAGTTACACCAGGATTGAACAGTGGATGAATACTAGAAGACATTGCAACTGCTGCAATATACATAAGTTTTATGATACAGTTTTCTGTTACACTGTGAATGACTCCACTGTGTCTTTACTTTGCATCTTGTTTATTGTAATATAAAATTTAACAGTTTGATTGCTGACAACACTCTGACAATCCCTCCAAGGGGCACTCTTAGGTCAGATAAAGGAACAGAGTTGGCCTGAGCAGTGTGTTTCTTGAACTTGCTATATTCCTTGGAAAAAGTGTAAAATAAGATTATTATCAATTTCTAAAAGCTAGCGACTGCAATGGGGAGCCTAAGCAAAAAGTCACTTGAAAATTTAAATACCTTAATAACTGGAAGGCTAGGTAATTAATAAAGCAGATATAATTCATTACAGTTTCTGAAATAGTATATACTCTATAGTATAAAATAGCGTATTCTGAAATAGTTTCTGAAATAGTATAGCAGGAATAGAAATTCTCACCAATGTTGAGAAGATGGAATATTCACTATTAAATTCAGAAGAAGATTAAATTGCTTAGTTCCTTATAGAAGCTGTGAAGGAGAATAAACAAGAGCTGGATATCTGCATTGTTCCTGATGATTCGTAGCAAAGGAATTCCTTTGAGAATGTTCTCTTCTATCCCCTTGTAAATTCAAATATTTCACCCAAAATATTTGGTGAATAGAAGTATATATATACTTCCAATAGAAGTATTCTGAGTCTAAGCCATTGCTTTACTGTATCTCAGTAATTCCTCCTAACCCATCTTGTCATATCTATTCATATTCTTCTCTTCTTCTATAAGGCAAGAGCCAGATATTTAGGGATTTTTCATCCATCTTTACTGTTATCCATTTTTTGAATGGATAACACTGTTGAGTTTTGACACTGGTAAACAAAAGAACACTCACAGATTCATTCACAAACTCTGTTATGAGGTCATGAATTTTTTAGCTGTGTCCAGGGCTCCTGGATTATTACCAGTAACATTTTGAATGACTGTCAGAGCTTTCGTTGCCATGTTACTCCATTTTCTGACTCAAAGCATCATGTCTTATTTTTTTTGAACTCTTACACAAATCTGATGATGAGCACAGCTGCAAGGACTATCAGCAGATGGCTCATTTGTCTTCTGAGTTGTTCCTGACAGACAGACTCGGAGCACAATGGAGAGGACTACAGCAGAAATTCTGGTCTCCCAAATCCAGACCTCAGTTATCATGGTCAGAAGATAATTTGTATTCAAAGACCAAAACTGACAAGTAATATCTTTGCCCTTAGCCATCCCTTATTTCAGGAATCATTCTTTACTTATGCTCCACTCTTAAATGCTATAGATAAGACATTTTGTGGTTCTGCACTCAGGATTCTCTGTATGGTGTAACCATCACTCCCGAGTCTTGACTATAGTGCAATAGCAGCAGGAATACCACATCCAACAACTGATCAAGATATAAATCTAGGGAGCTTGGAGTTAAAACTTTAGATTGTAAGAAACTTGTTAACCAAAACATTTCCAGAGAGATAGTGATGCCTTTTTATTTGACTGACTATGAAACTCTGCTGTTCTGCAGATGAGAAAATTAATTATTCACACAGTTTGGGGTCTTGATGGCCTTTGCATGCAGCTTCAGTAGAAAATTAAGGAGGGAACCTAGTTCACTGTGTATAATCTCTCCTCATCAGTCCACTACATTTCTGGTCAGAAGCAGAACAGGAGGGGACTTGATTATTATCATGGAATCACAGAACCACAAAATATACTGAGTTGGAATGGACTCACAAGGATCATTAAAATTCAGACCTTAGTCCTCCACAGGATAATCCCCAAGAGTCACCCCATGTGAGTGAGTATCACCCAAATGCTTCTTGAACTCTATAAGGCTTGGTGCTGTGACCACTTCCCTGGGGAGCCTGTTCCAGTGCCCAACCACCCTTCTGGGTAAAGAACCTCTTTCTAATATCCAACCTAAACCTCCCCTGGTACAACTTCAGGCCATTCCCTTGGATCCTGTTACTGGTCACCACAGAGAAGAGACCAGTGCCTGCCCCTCCTCCTCCCCTCGTGAGGAAGTTGTAACTGCAATGAGGTCTCCCCTCAGTCTCCTCTTCTTCAGGCTGAACAGACCAAGTGACCTCAGCTGCTACTCAGACAGCTTCCCCTCAAGGCCCTTCACCATCTTCATTGCCCTCCTTTGGACACCCTCTAGCAGCTTAATATCTTTCTTATATTGTGGCACCCAAAACTGCACACAATATTGAAGATGAGGCTGCCCCACTGCAGAGCAGAGCGGGACAATCCCCTTCCTCAACCAACTGGTGATACTTTGCCTGGTGCCCCCCAGGACATGGCTGGCCCTCCTGGCTACCAGGGCACTGCACATTCAACCTGCCATCAACCAGGACCCCCAGGTCTCTTTCCATGGCACTGCTTTCCAGCATCTCATTCCCCACTCTGTATGTACAGCTGCGGTTGCCCCATCCCAGGTGCAGAATCCAGCACTTTCCCTCGTTGAACTTCATGCAGTTGGTTACTGTCCAGCACTCTAATTTGTCAAGGTCTCTCTGCGGAGCTCCTTGCCTTTGAGGGAGTCAACAGCTCCTCCCAGTTTTTTGTCATCTGCAAACTTGCTCAGTATCCCTTATGGTGGCCTTTCATTACCAAAAAGGGAACTTATAAGAAAGTTGGGAACAGAATTTTTAGTAGGACGAGGGTTAATGGTTTTCAACTAAAAGAGGGCTGATTCAAGCTATAGATATAAGGTAGCAACTTTTTTACAATGAACACTACGGTGGTGAAACCTTTCTCAAAGAGGCAGTGGATAAGGAAACATTCAAGGTCAGATTGAATGGGGCTCTGAGAAACCTATGTGGTTGAAGGTGTCCCTGTTCACTGCAGGGTTGGAACTCGATGACCTTTAAAGGTTCCTTCCAACAAAAACTATTCTGTTGTTCTGTGATTCTGTGATGCAATTATGCTGCAACACCTAGAGACAAAATAACAAGTTTCAAACATGGTATCAAGAAAACCAAATGGGGAAGAGGTAACCTTAAAACCACCTCTCTCACGATAAGTGAAACAACTAAATTATAATTTCCAGCCAGGCTGAGAAGTGGAGAAATGGAATCCATCAAGGTAAAACATTTTTAGGAAGAGAAAAAAATAGCTAAATACAAGACATTTAAAGCTCAGTGGAATACTTTAGCTGTTAAACCTAATCAAAATACGCAAACATGAAGGAGTCTGAAAGAAAATGAAGTGATATGACCATCTTCTATTACACAGAAGGTTTCAATCAATCGCATCTAAGGGGGCACTTTCATTTTCTGTTAAGGAAAAAATAATTAGACAGAGACTTACGTTGGTTTGATTTTGGAGATTTTTTTTTATAGTTCATCTACAATTTTTGCAACTGATGCAATAATTTTCCTCCAGAAACCTTGGAATTCCCAAGAAAATTACTCTGGTAATTCTAGAATGCACAAGAAGAAATGTGGACATAAAACTAAATATTGAACCTTGAATAATTTCAGTTGGACTTCGATGCAGACACATATTTTTGGGATATTTTCAGGTATATGCTCAAGTACTTGAGCAAAGGCAGCTGCCTATTGGCAGAAAACACCAACTTGTAGTCAGGATTCACCTTGCAGTCAAGTACTGCACTGAATGATGAGAAGCTAAACTAAAATATCCACTCTGTTCCCATGAGGCTGCCACTCTAGGACATACCTTCTGCCACTGTAGACCCAGTCATAATGACAGATCCTTCTCTTGTCTGGTTACTCCCGGTACAAAAATCAAAACTATATTTATATTGATTATTCAAAAATTATTATGCACCACATTAAAAATTATAATTATAAAATATATTATAAATATTATATATACAGTAATGCACAAGTATACACTGGAATCTAGAAGACTATCAAAGTGGGAAAGAACAGAGTAGCAGTTGACAGGGATATGGGTTTGATCTCTTTATCCATTGAGAAATGCAGAGTTACTATGGTGCCACCTTCAGGGAGACAACAGTTTAATTGTTCAATTTTTGTCAGCATGGTATTAGGGTCTGGGTTTTTTTCTTTTCCACAGAATTCTCCTTGCAGTAAAACTGTCATCAGAATTTGCAAAGCAACCCAGAGTAGTAGTTTAAACTTTATTCCCAGACAGCCTATTTATACTGTAAAGCTGTGTCTGACTGCATTCATAACTCATACAATGGCAAAATAAATTAATAAAAGGTATCACCATTATTATACAAAGCAAAATTCAGCAAACTTCCTCAATTTACATTACCTAAAAAGACCAACGAAACCCCCAACAGCATAAATTATAATTTTTGAAATGAGATTACTTGAGCCTAAGATATCCATGAAGCAATAAAAATAGTTCTTTACACTGGGCTGAATATTTTCTAATATCTTATACATAAAGGAAAAAAAAGTCACAGTAAAAGAACTGTGTTTCTCTCCTGACAGAGGACTATTTTTTTATCTTTTTCTTTGGTAAGCAATGAAGCATTCTAAAATATATAGAACATAGAGACTATATAGCCTTTATGCTGTCTATATGATATATTGACATTTCTACTGTTAACTATTTTTAAATGAATATTGAAAGAAGATTGATTTTATTGGAACAATGAACAAATACTCCAACTTGAACAAGACCTCAGTATCACCTGAGTTCAATGTCAGTAGGTTTATAGCTCAAATTAATTTCTTTGGGGAGAAAAATATATTACTACAACCATGAGAATTTTAATGTTTTCAAACCAGTCGGAGTCAAACACACATGCAAATGTACACATACAATATACACATAGCAAACAACAAGCAGGTGAGATAGTAGGCTTCTGAGGCTAGTCATAGGCAGAATTTAATACTGCTAGAGATATTTGGGTTTCAGGTATAAACTTACTAGTAAGAAAGAAGTGCTCACTGCTGTAGTTCTTCTGTGGTAAAACAAGTCTCTAAACATAAAGAATTTTCAGGTTTTTTTCAGGGGACAATTCATCTGCAGGTGAGATCAGAAAGCTGAGCAAAACTGAAATGCAGGTTTTGCAGTTTAGAGCAATGGACCC